ATACTTATATATAGAAAATCCTCATACTTATATATATAGAAAATCCTCATACTTGTATGTAGAAAATCCTCATACTTGTATGTAGAAAATCCTCATACTTGTATATAGAAAATCCTCATACTTGTATATAGAAAATCCTCATACTTATATATAGAAAATCCTCATACTTGTATGTAGAAAATCCTCATACTTATATATAAAATCCTTATATTTATATATATAGAGAAAATCCTCATACTTATATATATAGAGAGAAAATCCTCATACTTATATATATAGCAAATCCTCATACTTATATATATAGAAAATCCTCATACTTATATATAGAAAATCCTCATACTTATATATAGAAAATCCTCATACTTATATATATAGAAAATCCTCATACTTATATATATAGAAAATCCTCATACTTATATAGAAAATCCTTATATTTATATATAGAAAATCCTCATACTTATATATAGAAAATCCTTATATTTATATATAGAAAATCTTACCATGGCCTTGCAAAAAAAAAGGAATCCCCATGACTACTTTTTCATAAAAAATCCCTACAGTAACCTTTACATGCTTAAGTCTTGCATATATCAAAAATCACAGATAAATATTGGTTTCAAAATAAACATAGATGTTAATTGTTACCAGAGGACTACCTAGTTTGTTTTCTGTTGTTGAGAATATACGTTAAGATTTCCTCCATTGTGGTTACTATGTGTATGTTGACTCTAAAAGAACATTAAAAAACTAAAATGAAAAGATTGTAAGGTTTCTTAACTTCCTGAACACACTTTAATGTCAACAGCGATTATTATTTTATAGATCACCAATTACTGTCTTTGTTATAGATGTTTATTTTAGTGAAGAAGATAGATTTTCTACTATTTATTTTGTTAGTCAAGTTCAACTTCTAGTTTTATTTAGAACATCATTAAATTTGATCAGGAACAACGTGGCTAGTGTCATGGTGACCGTATCGTGTCTTGTTGAAACAAGGATTTAATGTTCTGTTTATGTATTTAAAACTTACAATTATATGTTTAATTTATTTCTCAAAGCTCCTTCAACAAGAGGTGCAGCAAAATCTAATTGTGATGAGGAGTTAGGATTTGAAGCAGCAGTAGCAGCATTGGGTGAGTAGATAAACCTTTTCAATTATACACTTAAACAGGAATGTAATTGTACACTCCTTACTATCTAAATAAATGTATGGTTATTCTGCCCTGTTGTGTTTGAAGATATACAAATCTATACTAGGTAAGGATTAATGTAATAAAGTAGCCATGCTGTGTGTGAAGATATACAAATATATACTAGGTAAGGGTTAATGTAATAAAGTAGCCATGGTGTGTGTGAAGATATACAAATCTATACTAGGTAAGGATTAATGTAATAAAGTAGCCCTGTTGTGTTTGAAGATATACAAATCTATACTAGGTAAGGGTTAATGTAATAAAGTAGCCATGCTGTGTGTGAAGATATA